ATCCAACCCCTTTATAGTCAGATAGCGATTGGATATCATGACTGACCATAGATTTTTTTAATATCAATTGTGTTAATAGTAAAGGTCACATGAGAAGACCAATCAATGCTGATTTTTTATTTCTGATTTATATGATCTGATAAGACATTAACTTCTTATCAATATTTCCTAGACAAGTAAGGATACAGAAAATATGAAACGAGCAAGGTGCTTGAGAAGAAACAGATCGTTCACAATGAAAACTGCGTGTTACTTCTAAGTGACATAATACAGTAACTTAGCTGTGACATGATACTAGATTTTTTGTTTACTTAGCAACTCTGGACCTTGTTTCCTTTTAATCCTATCAATATACTCCAAGTTCAAATATAAATCTCACTTGCATACCTTGACTTGGCTGGGGTTGGCAGCGTGGTATTCAAGCGATTATGTTCCTGGTTTTCAATCCCAGTCTGAACTGAACAGAACGTTGGAGGTCACTGTGTGCACTTAAAAGAACCCTTGGCAGCGGGAATTCGACTTAATATGGGGAAACACTTCTGTCTGAGGAAAGTTTCTCTCATAGCACCCTCCATGGCATATGCCTGTATTCATTAGCCCAGTTGGTACAGAAAAGTATGACATTAAATTCCATTCCATTTCAAAGAGTAGGCAGAAATGGACTGTTCTTTATAAATTCTCCTGCTATGTGTTAATGTTAGTGTATGGATGAAAATCTGTGTGTTTAACATTTTCTCTAGACAATTTCAAAATACTGAAAAAAGAGCCTTCCAGGTAATTATAGTAAATCTACAGGGGCTTCTTTCTTTCACCACTTTAAGCTAGTTTGAATCCAAGGTTTATTTACACTATTAACATGACATGTCTAGTAGCAAACCAGACAAACAACTTGTTAAAATACATCATGACTGATTGAAATATTTAGGTTGGTGATTTCATTTTGTGAGAAGATGGCCAAGTCTGGAGTAAAGGGATCGTTAATACAGGAATCAAATTGATCAGTATGCTCTCAAGATCAATACTACCCATTATACCCATTTATTTACACTATGACCTTTGACTTTTAGATCAACTAGTAATCTCACCATCAATATAGAATTATTTAACCTAGTAATACCAGAATAACCTATCATCATCACCAACATGTGTAATCCCTGGTTAGCTTACATATTTTCAAGACTAATAATTTGTAAGCAGTTTTGCCATTTTGCTGATAATGGCACATTGTTTTCTGTCAGGAGGAGAAATATTTGTAGTCTGTTCACTACTCATATTGCTTTTATTGTACATATCGTGGACATCCAGGTTAAAGTTCAGGTGGCCCGATTCTGAAATTGTTCCAGTAGAAGCCTTAAGTGCACTTTTTATAGTGCAATGGTGTGATATTTGGGAAGTGATATTGTCTGCAATATTGTGGAAGCAGATTCAAACTTCAACTGGCAAGCAAGGGAAGTAAGATATTGCCTGAAGACTGCCGTCCCCTCCTCAATAAATCATGGTTCTTAGTAAATTGAGAGAGATGCACAGAAAGAAAACATTTCTGGATTGACATGATATACTTAGATTTCAATAATTTGCTTATCACCAGAGAACCTTGAGAAAAACACCACAAGGTTAAGCAAGCAACCCTTCTGCTTGGGAGTAAAACCACAACACGTGCATTGATGGCAGTCATTAATGATCTAAAGCACACTATAAATTGGGAACCTCTATAGTAGTGTAAAGTATGTTCGGTGTTCAAAAATGTGTAATGAACTAAAAGATCATTTGTAGCAAATAGCCTGATTTTTTGTTAGCAACAATCTGTCAAGTAAAGCACTTTGTGCACACCATACCAATTTCTGGTCACCCAATGTTTTGCTGCCGATGGTATGTCATGCATGAGAATTCCCCATCACCTTCTGGGTTACGATGTTTATTTACTTGTTCACTCATACAGATACAATGATTGGTTTATACAAAACTATATATACATGTAGGCGCACCATAACAATCTGTGTTATAAAAGCATGCATTTGAAGATTTACTTATCAACCCAATCTTCCAGTATAATTTACCAAAAACCCATGATTATTCGACAGAGATGGAAAATAAGCAATGGAGAGAGAGAGAGAGAGAGAGAAATTGGGTTTAATATCCATCTCCACAAAATCTTGGTCCTATATAGTAAATTTTATCTCAAAACTTGCTTGTAAAAGCCTTTAGCAGTCCCGAGGACCAGGATTAAATCCAAGACGTTTAGCTGCAGGCAAAACCATCCCACTTGACTCAATGATAGACCTTATGATCTAAAACACACACATTAGACAACTCGACCACCACCCTTACTTTACATGTCAATAATAAAGATAAAAATACATGTTATTTTTATTTTTATAAATTATTATTCTAAAATTAATAAAGATAACAAAATGCACTCCAACAAAATTACAATTATAACAATAAGCAAACATAATATGCTTTCATTGAAAATAATATAGGCCAAATCCCCAAATAGTTAGATGGTATAGATACATAAATATTTCAGTTTTAGTTAGCATATCTAATATGGGAAAATGATAAAGAATGATCCCTATTTCTTTTTCACATTTTAATGTATATTTGTAATTGGAAATCCCATTTTTTGAAAGTATAATTTAAATGGAAAATAAACAAGGAAACAGCACATGAGGTCATTGTATCAGCCATTTCTAAGTCCAACAATAATTGCCTATTGCAATCAATAACAACCTGTATAATAAATATCCTAAGGTACAAATAAAATATCTAGTTTATTATAAGAGAGAGAGAAATGGGGTTTAACGTCCACTCGACACAAACTAGGTCATTTCGGGACTAACATATTGTTTAATTTTTATTTCAATAATTCGCTTGCGCATAGGGGTCTTTAGCAGTGGGAGGAAACCGGAGGACCCGGAGAAAACCCACGAGGTTGGACAGGCGACCCTACTCCTTGTCACGTACAACAGGGGATTTGAAACCACACCAGTCGACTCAATGACAGACTTTATGATACAGCGCGCGCACGCTAACCATTCAGCCATCCAACCCCCCCTAGTTTATTATAAAGCATCAAGGTTAAGTAGGTGACCTTACTCGTTGTCACATACACCCTAAGATTGAAACCACAGTTCTTGCCTTAACAACACACCTTATGATCTAAAGTATAAACTATCAGGTCATTTTAAGACTAATGTGGTAATTTTTTACTCAAGGTGCAGGCGTCTTCAGCAGTGGGAGGAACCCAGAAAACCCAAGGATAGACTAGAATCTAGATACTTCCAAATTAATGATGTACCAAGGGAGATAATTCCAGTTTTGATTCTACAATGTTTTTGAAAGCAGACATCATTCATTGTATTTTTACAATACAGCAGCCATTCTTATAAGCACAGGCGTACGGGGAAATTTTTTACTGGGGGGGGGGGGGGGCGGTGGTGGTTGGTGCCCCAAAAATGTAGTTAGGTTCTTAGTATGTTACATAATAATCATAATATCTCTTTTGCGATGAATAAGTTCTTAATTTCTAAATCATCAATAAAAGAGAACTAAATTTTATTTACTTGTAATATACACAACTAAAAACAGTTGTTTATGTAACTGTAATTCGTGGCTTACTGTACTCCAAACAATAGAGGGTTTGAGTCTTAAGATTTCTATTTAATTGCCTAACTATAGACACTCTGAATTTAAATTTGCTGTTAAATTGGACGCATTCAAGAACACAATATTTTTTTATACAACTTTTACAAAGTACAATTGTATGCTTATAAGAAACGTATCAAGTAAATCCAAGAGAAAGAATTGAGATATGTGTACATTATAATATACTGTTTACAATATATGGTGGGGGTGGGAGTATATAATTAATACATGTCCAGGGCTAAAATAGATGTAAAGTCAAGTATATTATACTATTCATTTAATAAGCTGTGTATAAAATGTAAACTTTAAACATCAATGAGCAAAACACACCAAAAATGAGCGACGTGTATATGCAGAAGAACATGAATTAACAAAAAGTTACCATGGGCAAAGCAGCTTAAAAGAATACCAGTAAATTAATACCAATTGTTTAGTTTCCCATTATATTCAATATCTATGACATCATATATACAACAAATACCCATTTCCTAAATAATTGAAAAGTGACATGAAGATTTCTAGAAAGTAAAAGCATGTTTACCACACTAAGAAATGGGACAATTGCTTTGACTTGGATTTCAAAAGACAAAGCCACTTGGTAACCTTGGAATAATGGTCATTGGCCGAGTCAAATCAAAGCCTATATTAAGTAGTTTTGTAGATTTTATCATATGTTTATAATTCATATTTAACATTATATAAATTCCCTTCCACCTTGGCTGTGTATATATTATAATTCATTATTATGTACAAGAATTTAGTACAAAAGAAATTAAAGATCATTGACATTTCTAAATAAAGACAACCTACTTTTATTTGTCACACGTCAGAATAATTGTCACACGTCGGAATAATTGTCACACGCATAATCAGTTGATCATAGTTTGTGCTATCAAATTATAAACAATGGGATCAGCTATTATTGGTCCAGCACTTTTTGTTCTAGTGTTTATGAACTACCTACATGTCAAGAGTGCAAATCCATATACACATACCTGAACTTTCCATGGATTACATTGTTTAAGTGACTAATAAACAGATATGGTGATTTGAAATGTATATTTCTTGAAAATCAAGTACTGCCCTCAAAGCACTATTTGCTTTTGTTCATTTTGAATTTTATCCACTTATGATGACGTCAGGATACAAGTAATACATGTGGCCTGAATAATTTACAAAATTTAATATTCACAGCCTATATATGTATCTAAAGTTAATAATCCGAAAATCCTGTACATGTAAATTTACAATAAAACATGCCCACTCTGTAGGACCAGTCGAGCGTCTGACCAATGACTTATACCCATATACATGTAAAATGAAGCAACCAATCTTTTAACTGTTAAAAGCCCCCCCCCCCCCCTACAAAAAACCCCCCAAACTTCTGCTAGCTCCAGAACCTCCCTGGTTAGGTTTGGGAATGAGATCATCCAGCCTCTTCATGACCTAGAGTATAGAGGATATCAAAGGTCAGCTTATAATATAATTTGTGAATTAAGAGAATATATTTAATGCTTCAAAAGAAACTGTTGACTTTCTGTTGCAATATAATAAGTAATGGTGTCCAAAGGCTGACCTATGCATACTTTATACATGTATACTAGGTATCTATCATGTACCTATGCTGGACCATATTGAAAATACAATTCACTACACTGATGACTGAGTAAAATAAATTCAAAGAACATAAAAACAGGCTCTTAAACCAATTCGCCCAATAGTTTTAGTTACATTTAGCTAAACTTTAATTTATAATTTGTATGTTCACAATTTAATATGCATGTTCAATATTCAGAATGTTATTTTCTTACCAAGCTAGTTATTGCATTCTACTTTCATGTTGACTGTGCATTATGTATTGTTTAATGGTCGAGAGCGAGACATTAAGTAATATATTGTAACAACATGAGGGCCGTAGGCCCGAATGTTTTTACAATATATTACGCAATGTCGTAAGCTCGAGACCATTAAACATCTTAAAATACTGACACTCCGCACGAGCTTTTACGTCACACTAGTCCAATATCTCACTGGTATGAATAAAGTACTATTGGCAAGTTGCCCGTACGATTATTTGAAATAATGGTACGCCAACATCAAAGGGTGACGTCACATCTGTATTTTAAATAGAAATAATCATTCAAACAATTTGTCCTTTGTGATTATTAAAAATCAGCAGGTACATCTAAAATGTACATGTACCATAAGTTAATAATAGAAATTGAATTAAAAATAGACAGACCATAAGCATACATGTACGTGTACTTATATCACATAATAATTGTAAAAAAAAAACATTCTTTTAAATAACTTTATAATACATGTATCAATCATCCAACAGTAGGTAGAAGAGTCAAATAAATAAGATAAGCTTAAAACAAACAAACCAATTTTACAAAAACAGACTGCTCATAATAGATCTTAACGCTACAGGTTTATGTACACATTCTTAACTTTTCATCTTTATCTCAATATTTGCAATATTGCATACCTTGTATTGTAGTGCCTTTGGTAGACATGTCACTGAAAGTCTTTTGAACAAAACCAGTAAAGACAATTAATTTAAAGTTCAACAAAATACAGTTTAAATATGAAAATTGAAAGTACATACATTGTATAACAACATAAAAATTCTAGATGAACAGAGGTTAAGCACAGGGCTGCTTGTATATGTACCAATACATGTTGTGTGTTTATTTAGGGAACTAGTGACATTCATGAATAAATTTTGTTTTGTGTACACAGCAAGCTTGTAATAAGTACAGTTATTTTTAAATGGTACATTTACAGTGTATATAAAAATTGATCAAACACATGAAAAATATACCTGTAATCATTACATACTAGCTATTAACTATGCATCTCCCTAATAATATGACAGAAGTAGCAGAGCACTTACAGTGTACATGTACATCTGGGCAACTTTACTCTAGAAAATACTTTAAATAGTTATTTATCATATCCGATCTTTATTCTTTTCACATTTAACACATATACGCACTGGATAATCCCACCCTCTTAATGGAACAGGTAATCTATTAGGAGAGCAATCATCGCAAACACCATGACCACACGATCGACAGTGGTGCTTTAAACGTAACAAATCAAACTGACTTTTGCAAACATGACAGTCTTTAATTTTATCATCAGGAATCCAATAATCTGGTCGTGCTGAGTCTTTGATCATCTCTAATGGATATTCAATTGCTGAGGCCACAACACCAAATGTTGAACTCACAGCTTCTCCCACTTTCCTAGCTGTATTAGAGCTATCGCCTGCAGCAGCAGGACCCGCTGGAGCTGCTTCGCGGATCTTTTTATCATCAAAGCATTCATCACAAACTCTGACAGCTACATATCCCCAGCCCCTTTCAGGTACAGGGCGTGTTTTCGAAGAACATTTATCACAGAATCCTTTTCCACAAGCTCGACAGTGATGCTTCTGCTGGTTACTTGTAAAATCTTCAGAACATTGGGCACACTCCAGGATCTGGGCATTTGGTATCCAATATTCTGGTGCTATTTTATCTGCTGTCCACTCGGTCAATACTTTGGTGGGCTTGGCGCTAATTGTTGATATAGTATCAGCAACATAATTAAACCCATCTAAAAATTTTCTTGCTGCATTGTGACTTCCTTCTAGTCCAGTGTTATTTCCAGGCCACATGTGACGAATATCGGTGTCAGCAACTTCATCAACTTCCTTATTACCGTACCAATGTTGCCGACTGCGATAAATAATGCCACATTTAGGGCATTCTAGCACAAAACCTGACCATAGATATTTACTAATACCAAGCCAAGAACTGTCATTAGAACTAGAAATCTTTGGTACTACAATTCTCTGTTGTCCTGATTTCTTACAGTTCTTGCACAAATAGACCTTATTGCCAAGTTCATGAACATATCGACAATATGTATCGCGACTAGTTTCATGTGTTCCGTTCCGGTGATTCATGCTGTGAATACATCGTCCTCCACAAGCTAAACATTTCTCTGTACAAGTAAAATATTGATCAGGGAATGATTCAGGCATGGGTTTTTCTATATCTCCACTAAACTTTTTATTTAACATTTTTAATGCCTGTAAAACGACACACGGTTGACGTGCTGCTCGGATGTTATTATTAGAAAAAAGATCAGAAATCACTTTTCCTAAAATAACAAATTCTGTTTTAGATCCTGGTTTAGTTTTTGTTCCAACATAACGCACGTCACTAAACGCTTCTAGTGAACACTCTGATTCGATGATTCTCTGACGAATTCCTGGACACTTCAAACCAAGGTCATTAGACTTGAATGGTTCTGTATGAGTCGTTTCATGAAATACAATAACAGCTGGACCTAGGATTGACACCTTCGAAGTATTCTTACATTTCTGACTGACGGTTTTTAATTCCTCTGCAAAATGTTTTAAATATGCTTTAGAAGCACTTCCAAGAAATGCAAACATATCATTGTGAAGTCTTTCAGCTCTTGTACGATAGATTACTACATCAGATATTGCCAGTACTTTCAGTAACAGTCTAGTTCTTTGATTCTGATTGGGTGATACACCTAGCAACCCTTCTGTATCTATGGCAACAGCTTTTCGCTGTGGATCATAAGCTGCCCATGTGCCTATCGTACAGGAGTTTTGATCTGACGATGTTTTGAAGACTTCTTTCCCATCAAATAGTGTATGGTTTAAAGTGTACGACTTCCCATCACCTGTATTGCCAAATATAGAAATGACCTTGACCAACTCATTTTCTTCACAACCAAGTTTCTCCAGAAATTCTGGTTCGTTCTCTATTTCAAGATGTTCTTCTTCTGTTGACAGACGAAAACTTGCCTCGATATCTCTTCTAATCTCCATATTACCTACATCTTGACAAATGTCTGGTATACTGCTACTGTCAGAATGAAAACTTTGGGTTTGATATTTCGTACCATCCGCGAAATTATCCTGCTGGGGACATGTTATGTATGTTAAAGAATCATCATCGAATGCTACAGGGGACAGGGGCATTAATTTGTCACAAGCTTGTTTATTGTCACCTTTCTTCATATGTTCTTTCATGGTAATACGAATATGGTGTTTGCGATTAGTTTTGTCACTTCTAAGATGATATTTATCATTACACTCAGAACAAAGGCGATAAAAACATGTCTGACAAAAGAAATCCGCATAGTTTTTGTTCTTGCAGGTGCCCCCTAACTCAGATATCTGACATAATAATTCTGCATTTGGTGTTGGGAGGTTTTCTCTCGTGTGATTTTGGTTCTTTTTTAAGGAGTGTATTCCCGAATCACACTTCAAGCACTGAGCCGAATTACATTCCAAGCAAAACACAATCGCCTCTGGATTAATTGTTTCACAGCTGTATTTTTCCTCGCAAGTTCGTATTGATGATCTACAGGAACTCTTCTTACTACCTGCTTTCATTCTACGACACCAAAACCTCCCAAAAAGGGATTAAATATAAGTAATTCGAAGAAAACAAAGAAGTAAATAAATAAATAGTACAATCAGCAGAATGTGTCACATGACCATCAACACAGTACATCCGATCATGTGATCTAAATCAGCTAATCATAAAAGCACATTTACAGTCTTGATTTACCAGCTTGTTGTTAATTGATTCAACGTAATCTCTATTAATAGACAAAGGGAAAACCCCTGTTCAATAGGTCAGCGATGAAATATTTGTTAATATTTTTTCCAGCCTAACATCAATTACGCAAAATTCGTTCCAGTGTTGAAAGTGGTTTAGAATTAACATTTCCAAAAGACTCGACTTCTAAAAGCTTCCAAATTGATTATCGCTGTACAAATTATTTATGTTTATTATTATTATGCCCCACACGCCCTTGAGCGAGACTGTATAGGCCTACGTGACATGATAGGTGGTAAAACTCCTGGAGTATACGCCCCAAGTCCCTTTATTTGATTTTTGAGTAAGTATTTTTGTATGACAGAATTGAGTTTATTAGGAGATATTTTAGCAACAGACTGTAACTCAATCCCAAAATCCATCTCCCACAAACTAATTAGGCTACAGGATAATTATTATTATAAATGTAACAAATCTCTTATTTCTGAAAGGGGGATTGGGTGGTTAAGGCATGTGCATGAAATTAATTATAAGGTCTATCACCAGTCAAGTGCTGTGATTTTGATTCCCTACTGTGAAACATCATCAACCGGGGGTTTGGATGGCCGAATGGTTCGCCTGTCATTGAGTCTAACTGGTGTGATTTTGATTTGCCACTTGTACATCACAAGGAGTAGGGTCGCCTGTCTTACCTCGCAGGTTTTCTCTGTATCCTCAAGTTTCCTCACACTGCTAAAGACCCCTACACACAAGCTAATTATATTGAAATAATGAATTAGTTTGTGTCAAGTGGATGTCAAAACACATTCCTCACTCTCTTTCTGGAAGTGTTTAATTATATACTTTTCAAACCCCTGAAATCTCCATAATTTAATATTAACTTTGTTGCAGAACAGATATTACATTTGTAAGAGAGAGAGAGAAATGGGGTTTAACATGCTTTTGACACAAAGTAGGTCATTTCAGGACTAACATATGGTTCAATTTTATTTCAATTATTCACTAGCGCGTAAGGATCTTTAGCAGGGGGAGGAAACTGAAGAAAACCCATGAGGTTGGACAGGTGACCCTACTCCTTGTCACAATCAACCGGGGAATCAAAGCCATGCCAGTTGACTCAATAACAGACCTTATTATGCAGAGCGCACACGCTAACCATTTGGTCATCCAACCCCCCTATTACATTTGTGTTTTGTAAACAGGGGCTAAGTGAAGGTGACTCAATGATGCGCTTTGCATCATGGGTTTGAGCGTTTGCGGCCATGTAAATTTCCCCCCTCTGCAAATGGAAATCATCAAGTGGTTTCAATGCTTTTTTCAATGCTTTGGCCGGTCATAAACATAATGCAATTCAACCAGTGCCAAACATAATTGTGACTCTGATATGCTACACAACCCAAATTTCTCAGTGCCAGAGGGAGATAATCCCCTTTAATGATATAAATAATTGTTTTTTGTGCCCCAACCCCTGCCTTTGTTTGCTGAGAAAGTTCCTCAGGATTTTCTGGCGTTGTTTCCACTTGTCTGTAGTGCAGGACAGAGGGCCTCACAAGGACAGCTGTTTAGTTGTTTGGATGGGATAAAAAAAACCAAAAACCCAAGGTCCAGTGTACACATTGTAGAGCACGTACAAGAATCTTTGACAGTTTTAATATAAGAGTAGGCCAGAGCGCTGCTGTCCAGGCAAAATTTCCCTTACAGCACACTGCATTGAGTACTAGACTGTAGTTCAGTCACACACCCACAGCATGTAATGAGTGGTAAGAAAATAAAATCATATTTTGTCTCAAGTCCTGTTGAACATTTATAGCAATAATCAAATGAACACTAAACAGTTCTCTATAATATATATATATTTTCAAATACATCCCACAATCTATATAGTAGAATTATTATATATTCTATATTGCATTCATACATAATCCATTCACAATATAACAATACATACATATTCATTACAATAATAATAGATTTTACACATTTATAAAATGTACACATCTAATATTTTTATTATAGTGGATCTTCATATAGCTATAAAACATAGGTTTATATTCAAACTATTCTCCAATATCTGGGTTTGCAGCAAAAGTAAAAGCCTTGGTCTTTGGTCAAAAGACTATTAAGGTTAAATTGCATAATAGGCAAATCCCAACTTTAGTTGGCATACCTCATGGCAATAACTTGTGTTACAGTAATCCTAAACAATTCATCAACATATTATCAGTAGTATGTTGGCATCTACTGCCAATTAAAGCCAAAATATTCAATTCAAGTGAAGTGAAAGAAAAATATCAGTAATATTTCTATAAATGCTTTGACGTTAGTGTGATATAAATAAAATGTTCAACAAAATCTCCATATTTTAAAAATATATAATCAAGATACCATACCTGATAATTATAAAAAGATGTAAATGACACATTTCCTTTGCTTTTTTATTTGATTTCTACATGAGGTTATAATGGCTGGTACAAAAAGAGTTGAATAACATTTTTTTTTATTTCCTGTAAAACACTAAGTGGTGCAATCTATTCATACTTGCAATAGTAGCATTAATTTCATGGTCTTCCAATAATCAAATAAGTTCTGTGACTTAAAGAAATTATTTTCATATTAATTTTGTCAGCATAGCAATAAAAATATTTCTGTATAGATATTTTTGCTCACTTAACATCAAGCTGACAAGTCAGAAAATTCATTCAGCTTTGATTTTCATACAATGAATTAATACGAACAAAATAATAACTTAATCAAACTTTATGAAAAAAAAAAAAAATTACCCCAATCAGTCTCACAAATTTGCCTTTGGCAAGAAGCTTACATCCACTAAAGTTCTTAAAAATTACCAAGATAAAAATGAAAGGAAACTTTACTGAAAATTTCTCCCAAATTAATTTTTGACCTTTCCTGGATGAAACAAAACTCTTCTGTATGCTACTTGTCTAAGGTAAATAAGAGAGACTATTAAAATCAGTATATACTATAGTATGTAGTTCCCTCCAATAAATCAACTTTTGAATATCATATAAATAAAGTAGCAATATATGTAAATAATTTTAACAAGTATAAAGAAGATAAAGCCAGCAATAAGTATAATTAATAATTAAATTAAATAATAACAAATCAATAATAATAATCAGTAAAAAAACCACAAATAGTTTAATTTATATGAATGTAATTGAAAATGAACACAGAAAGTATAATTATGAACTGAGTAAATTAAAACCACATTAACAGCTAATAGTAATTGTCATTTTGTTTTATGTGCCACATAATATTTACGCATAATAGCTAGTCATTGAATGTGCAGATATAAACTATGTATTAATGGAACTATTTATTTTAATGATTGATGGAAGATTTATAAAGACTTGGTTTCTTAAGTAATTTGCCTAGATCCTTATGTTTGTACAAATATGATATACAAAATACATATTAAATTATTGGTATATGTGACGAAAAGTAAGCACCTATTAAATTATTATGAGATCAATGACGAGACCTACAAATATGCTATTGCATCATGCAGTCTATAATTAGTATTAAAGGTATAATTATTTACAAATTAATTACATCAGATAATCTTTTTTCAGTGTTAGTGAGCGCTTACAAAATTTTATGGTAGTGTTTTTATAATATACTGGACTTACTGTTTTAAAATAATATCAATAATGCCTTTAATTTACATTAATTTGCAGTAATCTGTTGAAACTATTATAAATACTTCATTTTTAAATACATTAAAACATGTCAATTAATAAATTGTAGAATAATTTGCAGTAATCTGTTGAAAGTATTATAAACATACCACTATAAATAAATGAGATTAACTCTATTATAACCCGAATAAAACATCAATCGTATTCTATGACAAATCATTCTAAATATCAACTAACATATACTATCATATGACATGTCACCCTTGGTATTTATATACAAGATAAGTATATGCAGCACAAATATATGAAATCATCAGGATTTTGCATGCCTAACTAATAAGTACTAAAGAATAGTAATTACAAAAGAATTGCACACCATTCACGTAACTTGTCTTGTATAACTTTCACACTTCAGTCACTCAATATATTGATATGTAATTGACAATATGTAGACAATATTACGAGGTGTCTGGATGATTTAGCTACTCAACTCCTCACTGGATGTGTTAGTCTACTGGAATGATACATGAAGACTGTTTTAGCGGATTAATCTGTCTTCCATACTTGATTGAACAGTTTCATAAAATTATCATATATCATAAATGTTATAGCTACATCTAAACAGACTCGACTTAATCTTGGCACTGTTCCTTTATAAAATCTGAAAAATTAAGATATCATAATAATTAATCAGTTATAATAAGTAACAAACTTATTATTAGATAGGTTGCCAGGCAATGAAACATAAGCCCACAGCAGCTAAAACGTCAGAGAGGTCGACAAGGGTTGTCGCATATTTATTCCTTTGAAATTTGACAGGCTTTTTCATTTTACTAATTTAAATAATGCATATAAATTTCATACAGATCGGATGATCACTTTTGTCATTCAAACGTTCACAAGGTTCACAAAGTAAAACAAGGGCCATAACTCTAGAAATTATTGATGGAAATTGCTGAAATTCAATTAGACCTCTGTTTCACAAATTTAAATGATGCATAAAAATTTCATACATATCGGTTTGTAACTTTCATTAATCGAGCATTAACAAGGTTGAACAAAGTGAAACAAGGGCCATAACTCTAAAAGTAATTATTGTAAATTGCTGCAATTCAATAGGATTCGTGGTTTCACTTCCGGTGTTAGAGCGTTCACAAGGTTCAATAAAGTGAAATGAGCCATAATTCTAGACATAAAAAAACGGAAATAGCTGAAATTCAATAGGATTGTTCTTTTTACTAACTTAAATGTCACATATAAATTTCATACAGATCGGCAGATAACTTTAGATGTTAGAGCGTTCACAAGGTTCAATAAAGTGAAACAAGGGCCATAACTCTAGACCTAATAAATGGAAATTGCTGAAATTCAATAGGCTTCTCCGTTTCACTAATTTAAATAATGCATATAAATTTCATTATAACTTTTGGCATAATAGCGTTCACAAGGTTCAACAAAGTGAAACAAAGACCATAATTCTAGACGTAATGAACAGAAGTGGGCGTATAAATATTATGGGAAACTTTTTGTTACTTTTAATGCATGTATAATTAACGGTGTAGTATGCTATCTGTCCTCCTATAGTTTTGTTTATCTTTTAAACACCATGTTTGAACATTCTACCTCATTTATAGAAGCCAAGATTTGTGTTACAAAGTGTCAACCAATCAATTTGCTTATCTGTGCTTAGCCTAAGCAGAAAATACTCATCAAGTACATCTACATAAAGTCTGAACATTCTACCTCAGACACACAGTTATTGTGTCCTAAATAGTGTACAGCTGGACAAACCGATTTCCAAGCAGGGAGATTTTAAAAAAAGTCAAGTAAAATCTGAAAGTGATCTGATGTCAATCTGTTTCACAGAGAATTACGAGTCTTCTAATATTTCTGTAAAAGATCACTGCCTTAAACACGTGCCGTCAGAGCATGCGGCATCAATCATTGGCTGAAGGGCATGTGCATTGTTTACATAAGATGTTGACGCTTGGGGCAAAATGCTGCCTTTTAGTCATTTTAATACCCATTTACACTAAATAGGAAATGATTTTTACCTACAAATACGTCAAACGTCTTTATTTATTTTTCTAATACATCAAAAGAATCTTTTGGAATTTAATTTTTCGGTGGAAAAAAGTTAATATTTGAGACTCAATTGTCGCACTGATGTCATCCTTAAAAGTGACTGTAGTGGCCTAGCGAATATTCACTGCTGATCAGTGTGATCTGATGTAGGTAAACACAGCATAACAGTATTACTTCAGTAAACTACTACACTATTACCAGGTGTATCTAAATTCTTACTCAAGTGTGGAATTTATTTGTGTGAATACACTGTATAGCAAAGAGTTAAATGTCAGGGTATGATGACATCAACTGAAAATTCACTAAAAGATACTGATGTTTGATGTCAACCATCTTAATTCAGAATCAAATACTCCTGGTCAACTAATCAAACTTTTCCATTAGTAGAATAATAAACTTGGCTAGGATAGTTAGATATCAAAGATGAAAGTCCAATTTAATACTTTATCACAAACCTGCTAGTTTGAATTATGATTGATGTTGGAGATAGTCTCAAGTTTATTAATATTATGAATTCAGATAAGAAACTTTAAAGGGGCTAAATCGCTAATATTTTGGATCTAGAAATTGACACAAATGGGTCGCAACGTATATAATAATGTAATGTGAATGTATATAAACTGATTTACATTCAATCGTTTCTGTTTTTACTGCAATTTCTAATCAGTGATGTTCGGCGAAATACGCCAGAAGTCTTAATCCAATGGCAATCTCTAGCGTCTGGTTATTCCACTCTATACCTATAGTATTTATTGCGCATGCTCTCCAGATAAGAATATGACGTCACTGTTTGACATGACTTGTGGAATATATGTAGCCTCATTCTACAAATCCCTTGTTAAAAATGGTGCTGAAATGCACGATTCGTGTACCAACAGTAAAATGTTTATTTTGTCTTAATTATTGGATATCAGAAGCCCATCTTTTCCCCATAAGATCACAACATCCAGGGCTAGAAATTCGTCATTTATTGCGAGAATCTAAGAGGATTCTCATATATGGCATTTGCGCGAATCCTCCGAATCTTAATTAATAATACTGTCAAAAAAACAAAATTGTGTTAATCTAAAACATCAAAATACAAGAACAATGATAAAAATAGAACAATCATATGGATTTTTTGGTAACCACTTAAGCGTCAAAAGTAATATCCAGAAAATGCCTTAGTTAAAATAAGTTGATATGGTACCATGGCATTTCTTCATAGCACAATTTGTAGTCTTTTGTCCATCACGTAACTTGCAAAAGTTTTTATTCATTCGTCGATGATAGACAAACGGTACAATGATCACGTGACAACCACAATTAAAATTGCTATAAAATAAAATTTGTACAACTATGATATAGCTTCAATAATATTTTTAAAATTAAGCCTCTGTCAGCATGTGTATAAAGGCTATTTAGATCTGGTTTATTGACCTAATTCCAACCGATATGTCACGTGTCATAGGAATTCAGCATTTGAGATTCTGTCGGGAAAATACCCACTGTGTATTCGGTGTTCTACCAGGGGATTATATTCAATGAAGATTTAAATTTACCTAACAACTGGTCAAGGAATCCATCAATTTATGATCCAGTTATTATTTTTATATCTACCTGTACCTGGAATTCAGACGGACGGAGCGTAGAAGATGTGCGATTCGCAAACCATGTCGAGATCGTCTTTATTCGCCACGTGGAGTATTTTACTGAACCTTTTAATTATCAGCAAGCGTGTTTTGTTTTTTTACCGGATTGTCAAAATCACCGTTAAATGTGCTAACTGCTCGGATTAAGAACCATATGAGGTATGACTGTTGTAGCCGACAAGCAAGTTGATTGACTTTTTTTATTAACAAGTAATAATTACCCCGTTGTAATTTAGCCAAAAGTATGTTGATTTATGATACCATATAGTAATGGATTCATTGTTTTACCAATGGCTAGATTAAATGTCAGTCGGCTAAAGCCGACAAAATACAGCTGATACTGACTGACATTCAATAGTCGGACTTGACAATTCTCCGAGATTTTTTTTTCTTTTTTAGAAATTTTTTATGCGAATCTTGCGAGAATCCTTGCGCGAATCAGATTCAGAGATTAGCGTGAATTTCTAGCCCTGACATCAATGTTGATTTAAATTTATAAATAATTTGTGTTTTCAATGTCGAAGATTTTGCATGATACTGAGTTAGAGAGTTAGCTACTTAGCTACATGAGAGTTTGATAATTAAAATAATCTACTTACGCTCTAGGACCTTCATGTTTAAATATCTGAACTGCACAATCTAATGTATTTTTATATTTTGATGCTTCTAAACCCTGAAAGTAAGAAAATAACATATATTTATTTTTCCTTTTCAAGATAATATACCTATGTTGTCCTATTTGACACTACATGTAGCTCACTAACCAGAAGGTTTAGGGTTCAATCCCAGTGGTGGCTGAGAAAGTTCCTCTGTATTTTCCAGAACGATTTCCTAATGTCAGTGGAGAATGAAGAACGGTCTGGCAAAGAAAGCTTTAGTCATTTGGATGGGACAATATAAAATGAAATGCTACAGTATTCACTGAATGGATGTAGCCAATGTATGTATTCTATTATTATTCTATAAAACAAGTACCGCTTATTAATAGAATTGAAGGCGGTGTGCAAATATTGATAGAGAAAAAAATATATGTTGATCTTTCTTAGAATTAAATCAATTTTCTGCAGGAATTTCTCATTAAAGAATAAAAATCAATACTTGAGAACTAAGACAATTAATCAATACAACATGAGACAAAAGAAAAAAAAAATCATTGATTGTAATTATTTTAATGACTAACGACCGTTAGCTATGTTAACTCACATTACCTATGCTTAATTAGAAATGGGTCATGAGTTACTTATTTTGACATGGAATAAACAGATTATCTATGGAAATTTTTTATCACAAGTAACAAATATTTCTATGCTGACTTCTACAAAAACATTCTACTTTATAAGTAGATGCATTTTTAAACATACATTATGCAAGAGCTAAATCTGCCTATTGCAAGTCTTTCTTTAGGCCTGAAATGTTTTCTAAATTATTAATTAGACATTAATTAACTTATCCAGTCCATAATCAACTCTCGATGGCATCGGATTTCTCCGATATTAAATAGATTAGAACAGTACAGCCATATTTTGATTTAAGCTAAAAATGGAAGAGCGAGACATAGCTTCGAACAACCAGTACGGTGGTTAAAATTATTGCACACGTCTTGTCAAACCTTCAAAGGCTAATATCTTTGCTCACAATAGAGTAATTTGAAGGAAATTTTCAAATTATTAATTTTACGTTATCTATTTTCGAACTATTATAGCAAGAATGGCTAGCTCTTTATCTAAATCTTACATAATGTATCTTTAAGCGTGGATTTAACTCAATCAGATGTTTAAATTTAGTTAGTGGGAGGAATATCACAATAAATACTTTAAGGTCGTAGATTCATTGGCATATATTATAGACTTTGTGCGGCCAAGGGCAGTTGTTCTATGTTCAAATGTAATTACAAAATTATGAAACAGACCTGCATTCTTGTTTTGACAACATCAACTGGAGTGTTACCAAAAACAGATGCTGCCCCGGCTACAGCTCCAAATAAACCAACTAATAGTGTTGGTACATGCTTTGATTTGTCTTCACCACGATATAAATCTTTACAGGTTTCCATGACAAAGAATCTAATAGCCTGATTACTACCCTGTTTTATTATAGTTGCAGTTAAACCTTGATACGTTCCCCTAATACCTGGATAACAAAAATATCTCAAATATAATCAGACATATCATTATATCACCATTGTATAATATCAAATATTTTAGGACTACTTCTGCTGAGAAAATTTGAGCTCCTTCTTTTATAAAGATTTTTCTATGTCTACCAGTAATCAGATTTTCTGAACCAATTAAATGCTTTGTTTTTCTGTCCTTAATTCTTTCCAACTGGATCACCCTACATTTATGGTCTAACATAACTATATGTAATAAATGTTTGTATCAATCAAATATCATGTTCTGCAAATAAAAAGGTCATACACTTAAATGGGAAGACCAACGATTTTCAACAAGGTTTCCATAAATCTTAAATATATATTGATGAATAATCCCTTCTGTAACACAAGCAAAAAAGCTTTTTGTACGCGAGAAATTAATTTTTATTAAAACCATGTGTCGTCCTTTGGCCAAAAATATGATCAAATGGGTTATTTATTAGCATATTATAAACATGAATTTATGTTTGTTTTAACGTTTAGTACACAAAGTCGTCGCAGAAATTCACTCATACATTTACTGAACTGTACGCTGTGCCTCAATTCACGCCACATGGCTAATTGGTTACATCACATGGTTTGATTGACAGCTTGCAAGTGAGAGATGCTTGAATGTTTTTGTGCGTGCCGAGTCTGCTGACAGTGTTTTTATAATTTCAGTGGATTTGTGGCACATATATATTCAAATAAATATATAAATTTCCAAAAGTATGTCAACGTCAAACACCAAAGTATTGGAATATAAAATATCTCTTCTATGGGTCTACAGTAACATTCGACCCTAGCTGTTCTCATGAGGAAATGAAGAAAAAAGGAAAAGCTGTTCACTCCAACATTATGTGCCAAAATGCACTATATTATATGTCTTACATGCCCATAATTTTGATCTGTTTATGTCGAAAAAAAGCTGTCAGCAAGCACAAAAACATCAAAGCAGACGAAATACATGTCACTGGCAAGCTGTCAATCAAACCACGTGATGTAAACAATTAGCCATGTGGCGTGAATTGAGTCACAGCATACTATTCAGTATGAGTGAATTTACGCGCCGGCTAATCAAACCACGTGATGTAAACAATTAGCCATGTGGCGTGAATTGAGACAAACATAAACATGGTTTTAATAAAAATTAATTTCTCGCTTACAAAAAGCTTTTTTGCTTGTGTTACAGAAGGGATTATTCATCAATATATATTTAAGATTTATGGAAACCTTGTTGAAAATCGTTGGTCTTCCCCTTTAAATAAAAACCAGACCCATCCAACTCATATACTTTCTGATTTTAATAAGTTAAGTAAAAGAGAGTAAAATTAACCTTGTTCACGAATAATAGTCCTTACACCATGTGCAAATCCTTTAAATCGTGGATTGGCAGAGCGCTGATCATTGATAAATTTAACTTTTAAAGTTTCCATGGGTGTTACAGCTAAAATAGCTTCACATACACCAGCACCTGTAAAAAAATGATTCATGAAATAAATTTTCAAAGGAAATAGAACATAATTAATTAATCTGATTAATTTAATTCAAACATAAAGATTCACATCTTTCAATCGCAAGATTCTAATATAAATCAGGACAATAAATTGCTGTAATACTATAGGGTTAAGAAATAGTCTGACATACAAGAAACAAGGGTCAGTTCCATATAGTATGTGACAAAGTTTGCCCCTACAACAATAGTGCATTAAAGAACTAATATATTTTATTTTAGTCCCAAAATAACCAAGCTGTATCAATATGGACTTCAAAACCCCATTGAACTCCCTACTTATAAAATCATAAATCCACTTGTAAAACCTACTTTCTGTATGTGGTATCTATGTTGAGCGACATTTTTAGTTAAATGATAGTAGTTCTAGAGACAGAATTATAATATCTATGTGGTTGTCAGGTATTCCAAGTGAAATTTACCTAAACCACATAGTAATCTTCTTTGTAAAGATAAAACACCCCGATCATCAACATTTCTTCTTTTAAATTCTTCAAATGATCCAAATCTGAAAGATAAAAGGGGAAACAACAAGTGTTACTATTCAATGATGAAGAATTTATAGGTCTATTAAATAAACAATGCAGAAAAACTCTCCGCATAAATACAAACACAAAAATATAACAATGCACAAAATATTTTACTTTGAAATTATCTGTGAAAGAATTCATTGATTATGGGCAAAATACTGATTGCCATAACAATATGTACACTAGAATTTTTAACATAGTAAAACACATCTCAAAATAAAATGTAAAACTGTTAATTACAGTGACACAGAGAAAATAGACAGTATAAGGTATACTATTAGGGTCTTACATCTTATATTTGTATTAAGTACATGTATATACTAGCAGCATCAGGACCTACATGTCACAATCCATAATATATTAATTCTGATGTTCATCTTTCATATTATTATTAAAACCATATAGCAAAAATTATGGGTAAAATAAAGTGAGGGTTTTTACATTCGCTTCTACATGTGTACCTAGGGTGATATTGCAGACAAAGTAAGGTATGGTTCACTTAATCTATACATAAGGTACGGTATAGGCTTATATGTTGTTTAATATTCAACCATGTGTGACAGCTATTCATTATGAAAAAGGAGTAGCACTAACAGAAATCAATTGGGAAACTATGTTTAAACATGCATCAGTAATATCCAAGTGACTTATTTTGTACAATTCATGATCTGATGTATATACATGTAATAAAATGTTATTTATCCACATCTCAGAGAGGTTCTTGTTTAAACTGAGACTGCAGTTTTAGTACTTGTGTTTAGTATACTTTAAATAAACAAGAAACCGTGACACAAGTAATCAAACCATGTTTAAAATTTACACAGGTAGTCACACTGATTAACATTTAATCAACTCGCTACAAACTAGGTCCTTCCCCCCAGTTGACAACATCATCTTGTACACATATTTCATCCTCAAATTTTAATGTGTAACTGCGTGGGTGAAAATGCACCATAATCAATACTTGCAGGTTGAAGATATCCTTGTCCAGAAAATATGTTTAGATTTGTATCCATTTACAAAAATTTCAACATTGCTATGCATTAGTATTTGTAGTTTATGAAATGAATGTTAGTGTTTTGGTCATTTGATTCTGTCAAGGTAGTATTTTCAAAAAAGGACAGAAAACATATTATTCTATGTTTCTGTGACATTGATATAGCTGATTACAACATCAGCTATTATAATTGCATCACATATAATATCAAATGTTCAACAACATGTTACTTTATAATATAATATCAACTGTCTGGGTTCAACATCAACATGTTAAATATATAGAAGATATTTGTCGTTTTAGAGTGAATAACATATTTTATTTCATCGAGAAGCAAGAAAACTTATATTTTCACGAATGTGTAGCATGAGTGAATATATAAACGTTTTCTTGCTTAGAGATGAAATAAAATATGTTATTCACGACAAAACGACAAATGTTCTATTTATTTTATGATTTTACAATCATTTTAGGTAAAAACAACATGGACTGCTTTGTCCACTTCTAGCCAGTGGAATAACACTTTTATTTCACTGATAAAACGCGGTATTCCACTACTGATCATAAAATAAAATAGATTACAACAAATGTTCAACAACAACATGTTACTTTATAATATACATGTAATCATCAACTCTCCGGGTTCAACATGTTAAATATAACAAATGTTCAACAACATGTTACTTCATAATATAATCGATTACATAAACTGTCATGGTTCAACAACATGTTAATATCATGAATTATTTATTTGTGTTTTACTGTATTTCGGTAAATAACAGAATTAATAATTAGATTAAATGCTATAATTGGTTAATATATCGATTGTAACTGTAGTAAATAGATAATAAAAACAATCATTGCCTTTGTTTAACACTATCCTTATTTAAATTACTATTGATTTTACAGTGGGAGGAAATCAAAGTCAATAGAAATCAAGACACAGTAAATTCCTACACTTATAGGAATCTTTAAAACGGTTGTTCTGGGATTTTGAAATCTATGCCATAATTCTTAAGACCCGACACAGTATGGTAATCGATACAATAATAGCATACATTGTAATTGAGAAAAAACAAGCCAACAGTGAGGCTGATGTCCCCCGCCGAAATCCCAAATAAATATTTAGGGGACAAATAAAAACTGTAGTCAAATCAATTGCCTGTTACTGGGTATTCAAGATTCAGTTTGTGATATTTAATGCACCAAGCAGAGGAATAAAAAATCTGAAGAGAATGTGTTTATAGGAGATGATCAATCAGACATCCTCCTACCACTTCCAGTACCAGTATTGAAATATTGATTTCTATGAACTGCCACTCCATTCAAACAGAGAATATTCTTATAGTCTAACATCTGTCCAAAATTACATCATACACTATTAGGGTTGTCCACCATTCTTACTTTGCTATAAATCATACTACTAGAACCCTTTTTTTTTCTCTCAATTTTAACACATTATGATTTCTAAATATTTTGGATATAAAAGATTGGATATTGAGAATCAGCGAGTATTTCCCCACTCCCATTCCCCAGCGACTACCAAATTTGATACTGTTTTCAGTATAAAGCGTGATTTTAGAGAAGCGTATAAAAACAGCCCTTTATTGTTTACTCATATCTTATAAACCTGTTATTGCTTGTTTAACTGATATAAATATTTGTTTTACTCCGAGGAAGGAATGTTGCAAATTGGCTTGGAGCAGAATAACATGTTATTTAATACAATAAATTTGGTAACATTGTTATGTATTTCTTTATGTCTGGTTAGTTTCAATATAAATGAAATGCTGACAAGGGGAAACCACATCGGAAAATCCTGATGAATTTTCTCGGCCAATGCAGGGATCGAACACGTGACCTCCAGGCTAGCGAGCCATCGTCTTACCCACTTAGCCACCGTGGCTCCTTGTTTCAATATAATGTAAAGCAATGAATGACTTAAATGCAACCTATCACTTGTCACATCAGTTTTAACTACACGTTTTTGTTCTCTAATAGGGCACAGTAATTTTTAACTGTTTTTGGAAAATTCAATTGTGACATTATATATAGTCCCCCTAAAATCAGTAAGCTGATTAATATTTATCAGTCATGAACTGTTTTTCGGATGCAAAAGTAAATTTTTGATGGACTGGTTAAACTGCTTGGCTACTCCAAATTTTGTTAAGAGACAACAAACTTGAATTCCATAATACTGTCACATGTCTCCCTGTCATTTTTGTTTATGTGTCCGTGGTTGATGACAGGGCACGGTTGGGCACACTGAGCACAAACCTTTCTAGGTTAGCTAAAAAATCGTCTATCCATTTCAGACCGAATCTGGATATTTGAGCTTTTTAAAGGCAATATTGGTTCAAGGTTACGAATCCTTACAAGTCATAGAAATTGTTTACATAAGGGATGTTGTTTTTTCCCAGTTTAAGAATTTTGTATTCAATGTTAAGCTGTTTGTTGAAAATTTCAGCTGTGTACATGTATCTGTGTTCCAAGTCCTAAAACAAATTCATATTTTGAACTAAAACTTTAGTTTTTATAGTTCTAATGAGTTTCAATTCAATAAAAAGAGAAATCATGCCACCATGCTCCGATCTCCCCTACCGATAGCTATCACATAAATCAGTGGTACCAGTACATGTAAAATAGACTGGAAAATCCAGTCTCTGATAGCTCCCATTCATTGACATGTTGGGTACCAGAGACTGAAGTCAATAATGGCATGCTACAAAAAACAAATGTTTATACCATTAATATCCATAATTCTATGTACATGTAGTAACATAACAATATCTTATCTACTAAATAATGTCATAAAATCACAGAATTTTAAAAGGATTAACCCCTTAGACTGCCTCCAACTGCCGATATATGTGAATAGTGCTAAAGGGTTAAGGTACACCAGTCGAATTAATGTTAAATCACTGCTTCAGTTCATGTGAATTTCATTACACATAGCCCTCTTTTCTTACACTGTATAGAAAATCAATTGATATGTTACTACAGTACACATATTTCCATTCATTATTCCATCTTACCTAACTGCTGATTTTGGTATAGATCCATATAATAATACATTTAACCCTCTATATAAACCACGTACACCATGACTTTTAACTGTCTTTTTAACACAGTCTACAATACCATCATAACGTTTATTACCAGCCTTCTCATCTAACTGTAATTGTGTTTTAACATATTCTGTTGGAAATGTGATACAGATTTCTAAACCTCCAGTGATTCCACCTGAAATTAAAGATTTCAAAATGTTACAAAAAATTCTGTTACTATTTGAATTTTGATTGGGAATAAAGGGGTGACATCATTATGGGAAAATTGTAGAGCTAGTGACATATGGAATGGAGTTTGACATCTGATTTCATGATTCAAGTCTTAGACATTCTTGTCCAGATTCTAGAGTTCTACAATGGCTCAACTACATGTACCATGGACAAGCCTGGAAATCAGACATGTGTCACACAGCTTGGCACAAATTCATGCTTTGTCAGAATGTTTTCTGACTAACACATGGTACTGTTTTATTTTAAAAATATGTTTGTGCATAGGGATCTTTAGCAGTGGGATTAAATTAGAGACTCCCTAGAAAACCCCTGAGGCTGGAGAGACAACTCTACTCTTTGTCAAGTACAAGCTGGGAATCAAAACAATGCCATTTGATTCAATGACAGACCTTATGACCTAAAGCATCACATCTGAGAACATTCAACCACCCAACTCCCTTGAAATGATTTGCTAATTAACAATGTAGACCTGTTAAAATCCCTCCCGCGTACAAACTGTGTGATTCGATGATGTATTTGGTATAAAAACATATTCAAACTAATTAATCTATCAAAAATGTGCTTCAAATCTCTCTCAAACCTTTGTATACGTGGGGAGATTCCTCAAGATATTAACTGATGTTAGAGGCCATGTCTGTCATCTCACTTTGTTGAGGTAGGGTCCATTTTTCAGAATGTATTTTTCATTACTTACTGTCCATTTACCATACATATTGAGGCCTAAGTAAATTCTTAATTATTTTCTGTCAAATTATGTTTCTGCCGTTTAACTGCGGAGTCTTTTGTACGTCGACACCTCTCAATGTTCCCAAAACCTCCTAATATTTGATCAAGAAATAACATCCGCTCCCTTAGTTAAGCTAGTACACAATAAGTTGGTAGACAACAGTCGGGTTGCCAGTTAGTGATACCCTGACATTTTTGCCCAGTCAAGGGCGTGGATTTGTCATAACTTTGGGGGGGGGGGGGACGGATGAACCCTGGAACCTTTGATTACCAAACCAAAATAATAATTACGAACAGTTTACCAGTGTTATTTCGATGAAAGCTGTAACTAGGGGTAATATAATGACGATATGGTAAAATTGACTACCTCCAATTAAGGAGGAGGATATTGTGAAGATGAATTACAGTGCAGAACGGGACATTCATGTGGATATAAACCTGAAAATCTGTCCTTGAGATCAAAATCATGGGGGGGGGGGGGGGGGGGGACAGAGACCTATTCATCCCCCCCTTCCGATTCTAAATCCCCCCTAAATCCATGCCCATGTGCCTGGTGCTTGCCTCAAGGGTGTTTTTCAGGTAATCCAGTATTTTTCCAGTAAGATTGGGTATACTTTCCATATACCAAATTTGCCATACTTTTATTGTAAATAACCACCTGCTAAATACTTTCGGGCCAATGTATCTTTAAAAAATGACCTATTTAGAGTTTACTACATTAAACCAGAACCAGTCTAAATTACTACTTTTATTTTTCATCTTTTATATACAGTATTTTAATGCTATAGACGGTAAAGCTAGTGAATTTTATCTGGTAGAATATTGATTGTACGAACAGCAGGTCTATCATCTATCAATATTTATCAAGGACAAAGCTAGGACAAACAGCTGATTGGAAGAAATTGAACTAGTTTAAGACCATTTTAGCTGACTTGATATTCTGATCAATAAAATCTCACATTAGGTTGGGAAAACCCCCTGAAAGTGAAAGTTCCTCTTCTCATACTTGCCACCATTTAAAATAATTTTTATGACTATATAATGTTTATAAGAATTCTCCAGGATCTATATAGACTTATCTATTTTGATTTTACAGCACAGTTTAAGACCTGCCGACTTTAATGACCAACACTGCTCTAACAATGATGTAATTCCAGTATCACATTGACAATTGGCATAAGAAATGCTACGATGTATTCATCATCCATATAAGAGCTTTAAAGAGAATGCTAAAGAAATCAATTATGAACTACATTACATGTATTTGTCAATATTTAAACCTTTACATAGGTAGCTCTAACATCCTATTGATTGAGAAAAATAGTTGTGTGTGACATATATATTATGAGGAAAGTAACAAAAGGGAAACTTAAAAACCTGTGCAATTAACCTTGTATCATCAAAGACTATGGCGCAAAAATATTCATGCAGGTATGAGAGGGTTCACACGCCTTTAAAACTTTCTCATCTTCTACACGGTATAAAGTTTGATTAAAGTACATGTATCTGTGCATCGATTTGTATTTTTCTAAAAAATTTCAAATTACTCCCGGCTTTAAAACTCACGTTAGTACTCAGACCGATTATTTAACATGTAATCAAGAAAACAAAAAACCAATACTAGATAATCTCCCGGCCTGGATTCAATCGGATTACAAACAAGCCCATCAATTACATTTTGTGAAACAAAAAGTTCCATTTTTAACCATTTATGATCTTATAAGACATTCAAACTTTACAATATCGTAGTTTGCAAGGGATTCCTATATCGCTCAAGTCATATTAGAGACTTTAAGTCTGGTAAAATAAAACCAAATACCAATATAAAAAAAAATTAAATAACCGAGTAGTGTTGAATGGCATATTTCATTAATGGCGCAAACTGATATGACAAAACTATTTTATTGGGTTTTTTTTAGAATGGTACATGTATATACATGTATACACTAAGAAATATCAATTCCCAGCCCAGTGCAATATAAACAATACAAAACTGTGGAAATGCACTGCTGTTTTTATTAGAGGTAACCAGTGTATGTTAATAACAGGCCAATTGCCTACACATGAACATTAGCAGTTCATATGGGCGGCTTATCTGACGGCCCAATTTCACTCACAAAGAGATACACCGTCAAATGTGAAAATAGACATTTTTGATTTTTGTCTTAATAATAATGAATAATTGCTCCACCAATCCTCAGACATTCAGCAATTCGCCGTGGCATGCTCCTATTCAACCGTCCAATCACGATTTGAGGCAATCTGACCAACTCCTCTTGCAGTGCCACGGCCAATTCTTGCAGTGTTGTCTCCCTATCAAATTAAACTTAACACACAAAAGCAAAGATACACTAAAGTAAATCTTATACAAGAACCGATAGGAAAGCAAACATGGATAGATAAACCAGCACGCGGCAGTTTTCATCAAGATTTCCTTGAAGTGTCAATTTTGACAATGAACCCCTCCCATGTGTATGGCGTTATTGCGTGTCGCATGTGCAGCTCAGTGGTTCTGTTGGGGCGATAAGTGTCAAGTGTCCATGACTATTTATCATATCACAACCTGCATAGGTATTTGCATTTCAATATCCCCTACTTTTTTTGAAGAGTATATATCAAAAAATATACAGAAGTGCTGGTACAATCAAGTACTATACTTGCACATTTGACAGACTATAACTTTAAGGTGTCATGTCAAAATAACCCATCAAAATCCATAAGATTTAGATACAGTAAACATTTTACTGTCAACACCAGGTCAAAAGGTCAGGTCAAATAAAGGATCCTCTACCTGTATAGACAGTTAGATACACTATGGTGACAACTGTCAAGATTTATATGCAATTGAACTCTGATTGCAACTAAAAATCAGTTAAAATATATTGAAAATTTGTCAGAAGACCATGATACCATTAGAAGTTTGCATTTTCAAAGAATAAATTATATGGACGTTACAGTGACTATTAAATTAATTCAGAAGTTCATTTGAACATAATTTCCTAGCATCGTATCAAAACGGTCAGAAGCTGTAATATACATATGCAATTTTGATTCATTAATTGTTTTATTATTATGTAAACTTAAGTACACCCCCCCCCCCCAAAAAAAATAAACCCAAAAAAAACACCCAAAAGTTACATGTTAAAATGATATGTTTGTATAGAAATTCAAATTGGGAATGGGCATTATTAGGGTTACATGTAATTCAATGGATACATTATATTCTGGCCATCTTGAAACGTTTAATCTGTGATATAGTGATCTAATGTAGATGTTGACTTTCCCTCTAACTTCTAGTGCATCAGTGCAAACAGGTTGTTAAATCAGATACAGTAATTTGATTTCAACTTTATATTAAGAAGACTTTCTTTTTGTCTTCATTTTATTCAACAATAAAGTCTTTTATACAATCTGAACAAATCCATTTCTTATCTTGTTTCTCCAGGAGCTAATTTATTTAACTAACCTACATTTATACAACAACAAAAAAAAAACAACTGATGAATACAGGATGGTTAATATGCAAGCAAGAGAACTGAATAAACTTTGTTTTATTTCATAACAAAATATAAATGTAGTCATCATCAAATAATTTGATATATTCCTGAAGCAATCTTTAAAGGCATTGACATACATGTATATAAAATATAATTTATTCACATTCACCTACTTAATCTTAACATTGAAAATTTTTTAGTATCTACCATATCTATGATAACCTAAAGAGAGTTCAACTACTTCATGAAGAAAGGATTGTATGTCATGATCTATTCTCTATAAATATATTTGTGTCATATTACCTAAAATAAGTTTCTTCTTCCATCACTTTAAGTTTGAAGAAGGTCCATTGTCATTGGTTCAGAGACTCTCAGGGAAAGACAACATTTTGGGTAACCAGTCATAGTATCTCTTTAAAAGCTTTACTATTCAGGATCATGTGTTTTTTATTTTAAAGTTATTTCCCATAAAGTGCACTCACCCAATAGTTAAAGGGTTTGCAGATCAAGGCAAAATTGTTTCATTAATCCACTTGACTGATTAAGGGCAGCCCCAGCCCTCAAAAGGGCAAAAAACCAGATTGCTTCTTTGTATTCAGTTTTGTTTGTTTTGTGACGGGTGGAACATGTGCCCTAAATGTATTCAATTACCTCGATTCCATTGAATACTGAAACGTTTCTTGATTGATTTAGATCATTTAGTTTTTAGACTACCTTTTTA